ATGCATTTCTCTCTAGTATTTTACAGCATCTAAGCATTTACTTCTCCTCTCTCTCCCTCTGTATAACCCTTCCTATTCCCTCCCCAATTAAAGTACCCCCATTTTCCCCATTTCCCCTTTGATAATACTTGTCTCCTATATCGCCTGTCTCAAGCTCCTTATTCCCCTTTACCCCCATAGTTCCTTTCCATTAATAAGCTTGTATTTGAGAATTAACTTTGAATTGTAAATGGAAAACTAGAGTGTCAATAATAAAGTATGGGCATTTGTACTGATGACCACAGAGTTCCAATCACAACATGATTTTCAGAGTAGGCATTAAGTATCTGCAAGGAACAATTGAGGAATGATGTTTCTTGCATTATTTTAGATTATTTTCAATAGTTTCAAATGCTACTATGAAGTTATATGAACAAGTTTTGCACTACTGTTAAAAAGAACTCTATCACAGCTAAGAATTGTTAATTTTGTCACCATAGCACTATGTTATGAGCAAATCTCTAACTGATTTGTAAAGTCTCTTTGACATGGGCTGACTATTTTAAACTGTTTGAAGTTTAACTATAAGAATGGATCAATTAAAAAAATGACCCCTAAACCAACAAGTCAAAGCATAGTGATCAGTATTATTTCACAGAAAAATAACTTAAGTTCTTTGTTATATTTAGAAATTAGGAACAGATAAGTAATTTAAATGCTAAATCCACATGTGTGTGAATGTGTGTGCACATTTGTTCATGTGAGCATGAGTGCATGTGTGGGTACTTGCTTTTGTGCATGTGTACATGTGTGTGTACATGTATATGCATGTGCATATACATATGTCTTCATCTAGGGCTGGTGAGATGGCTCAGCATATAAGAGCACTGACTGCTCTTGCAGAGGACCGGGGTTCATTTCTAACCCCCACATGTTGGCTAATAACCACCCATAGCTCCAGTTCCAGAGGATCCAACACCCTCTTCTGATCTCTGCAGGCAGTACACAACATGCTTGCACTTATACATGCAAGCAATACACTCATACACATGAAAAATAAAAATAATAAATAAAATGTTTTTAAAAACTAATTTCATGAGCATATCAGTTTTATAAGCCTATGCAATACGCTTTCTTTAAAGGACACTGAAATTCAATGTACAGTAGTAATTTCTTTTTGAAAGAGATTATATTCTCTTTAAAACATTTTCTGCATCTAAATTCACTCATACTATATGTTTTCCTACTTTGTATTTAGTAAATTAGATGTATTTTTAAATTCATTTCTACTTCATATAAAACGTCATGTTAACACATGATTTAATAGCATCTTTATTTTTTTAACTTGTAAAAAACTTTATTGAGAATTTCATACATGCATATAAGGTATTTTAATCAAATCTATGCCCACTCCCTGCCCTCCAACACCTCCCATATCTCCCCATCACTTTTTCTGACAACTTCGTGTACTCTTTCTTTCTTTTTTTAAATGGGCTTTTTGCTACTCTAACATTCCCCGCTCTGAAGAGATAGCCCTAAAATCTTTTAGGGATTAGATAAGAGCTCCCCAATACTTTTGACACTTTTGGCCTTTGGAACAAAGTATGTTGCTAAGAGGCCCAAGGACATTTTGACTTTCAGCCAAGAAACTGGCTACTTTTCTTTTGTGTCTTTTTTTACCCTAACTGCCTAGCCAATTCCTACCTCCTATTCTTATCACACCTTCCTCTGAAGAGGTTACCCAAATTGCCCATAGGGAATCAGGATGCAGACTGCTCTGGCTTTTTCCATGCTGAACACTGATGAGGGTGAGGCAATTGGGGTACCCCTTCAGTGGGTCTATCTAAAGACTCCCGAATTGCAAAACTCTTATCTGTTGGGAGAAAAGAAAGTCCTTGACTGATGAATAGGGGATGTGAAGGAGAAGAAAAGATAAGAGTAATTAGCATTACAATTTCTAGACAGGGAACCAGAAAAAAGAACAGGGCAAATTTCAAATGTTCAGATCAGAGTCCATTGGAATTTCTTGATGAGAACTTCCAAAAGCATCCCTCTATGGGGTTCCTTCTCATTTTTCTTTTGTCTGCCAAGGCTGGACTCGAGAGTGATGGACTCAGGATTTGCTTTCAGGTATTTTGATAG